AGCCTCGGAGGGTGAGCGGCAGTCCCAGGAGTCGGGGGGAGCCGCACTGAAGGGGACTGGGGTGGAGTGTGGGCTGGACCCACTGGACAGTTTGGGAAGGCATTGCCTTCCCCTGCCTCTTACACCTGCCGCCCGGGCTTATCAGGCCTCCATTGTCGTACTGCCTAAGTCCCAGCTCCTCAAAGGTCTTAGGTACCAAGCTTCCATTGATCTCAATGGCCATTAGGTGCCTTTATACCTTTGTGGGTCTGGACCTCAGTGCCTCATGCTTTCTGGTGTATTTACCTTTGCAGCCCCCTTGTGGGGCCGGGCAGCATGGCACAGATAAAGAATAGAGGCATAGTGAGGCTGTGCCATTTTGGTTCCCTGCCTCAGTTTCCCTGCCTGCAAAATGCATAATACACATCACTTTCACCACTTGAATCCCCTCCCCCACAGCATCCTTAGCCCCGTGCATAGTAAGTCCCTCCTGCCCTGTCCTGCCCTGCTGGGGGTGCTTGCTGCCTTCTGCCAGCAGCCCTGGCTTCCAAGCAGCCAGAAGAATTTCTCTCTTGTTTTGCTCCATTCCCCAGGGCAGAGGGAGTGCTGGGTCTATTGTCCTTTCATGCTCAGCTGTTCATTTCCTGCTGCTTTTTATATGGCATGGAAAATTGCATTTCCCCTTCAGCATGGGATGAGGGGTGGGTGGGCCTGGCCCTTTCCTAGCATTGCAAGTCTTTGAATGCTGGCTTCTAGCTTTGCAGAATAATGTTTAACGATGGTGCTAATGAGATGTAAGCCTCTTGGTTAGCTCATGTTACATGATAACCCTCCCCCCCCATTAGTATGCTTGGGGGCAGGTTTACTTTTCAGAGCTGCCACAGATCAAGAGGCTGTGTTGCCTATTGGATAGTGCAGAGGCGGCAGAGAGTCAGGGCTCTTGGTTCCACTGTTCTAGTCAAAGGGCTCTGATGCAGGAACTTTGGCCCCGATCCTCAGTGATATTAAGGCACCTACTTCCATTGGTTTCAAGGGAATTAGGTGCCTAAATATCTTTGAAGGACCCAAGGTCCTTGTTTTCTTCAATGTCTGACCCCCCCCCCCCCCGTGGATGGCCAGCATGAGACCTGTACATCCACTTCCTACGAGAGCCCTGCACGGATACAACATTTGTCTCCCCATCCAATCTGCAAAAAGGGTCTGTGGGAATCTGCAGATTTGCCGGGCTCTATTCACTAGCTCTCTGTGCAGGGGTTAATGTTACCCCACCACAGTGAATAATCACTGTGTACCCAGGGCCCGTGCAACTGATCAGATCGCTACCCGGAACACTAATGGATCAGACATGCCCCTGCTGTGCCTGCAACCCGAATATGGCATCCCATGAGAGCTGGCAAGAGAAACTGGCCTGAAATGAAAGGGACTAGTTTCATTTTTAAAGCTGAATGAAGTCCAGAAAGTTTTAAGGGCTTGTCTATACTGGGCAGCTAATTCAGATTGGATGTGATGTCATATTAAAGCAGCATAGGTATTCCTGATTAACCCCACTTTGGGTGTGTCTATGCTGCACTGTAACTTGAAATAAGAAAAGCAATTTGAGCTATGCAAATTGTGTATCTTAGTTTGATGCTTTTTCCAAATAGCTTATCTCGCCATTATTTCGAAATAACCCACTATTCTGAAACGTCCCTTACTCCTAGTAGAATGAGATTTACAGGGACATTGGAATAGCGAGCCCAAAATAACGGGCTTGCTGTTAAGACACTGGATAGATATTTTGGGATACGCCGGTATCCCGAAATAGCGTTGCAGTGTAGATGTACCCTCTGTGAATTAAGCTGATTCAGAACAGGAAACTATTTCAAGGGAACTCAAATGGATTTAATAACTCCCAAAATAGCTATTTTGAAATGGTGTGTCCACACTACAGGGAAGCCTTGAAATGAGTCCGAGGCAGGCTACCTTAATGTGGACATGCTACCTTGACTGAGAGCCCCAGTCATCCCTGGGGAGTCATTAGTTTGAATGTCTCTGGGGAGTGGTTATTTGGAAATAGCGGCATTGGAGTGTCCACACTACCGTTATTTCGAAATTAGCTTTATTCCTTGAGGAAAACAGGAGTACAGATTTCAAAATAAGCAGCGTCATGTGGATGCTCAGCTTCTTAATTCGACCTAAGGGGGGTTATTTAGAAATAAAGTCCTAGTGTAGACCAGGACTTACTCTGGGTTAAGAGCATCCAGACAGCTAATCGGGAGTTGCAATTCCAGAATAACTCTTCCTACGGATGAGCCTTTCACAAACAGCATGAGACTTTGGTCTACACTGGTGCTGAACTGCACTGCAACTTTCTGGCTCAGGGGTGTGAAAAAACACCCCCCAAGCGCAGCAAGTGACAACTCTGTAAAGTAGCAGTGTGACCGTGGCAACAGTTAGCTACTCCCCTCAAGTAAGTGGTTTACCTACGTGGCCACGCTGCTGCGTTAAAGTGTTGTCACAGCTGTCCTTTATACTTTCTAGTGCAGACAAATCATAGAACCAAGAGCTGGAAGAGGCCTCAGAAGGTCATCAAGTCCAGTCCCCTGCTCTCCGCAGGACCAATTCCAACTAAATCAACCCGGCCAGGGCTTTGTCAAGCCGAGACTTAAACACCTCTAGGGATGGAGACTCCACTACTTCCCTAGGTAACCCATTCCAGTGCTTCACCACCCTCCTAGTGAAATAGTTTTTCCTAATATCCAACCTGGACCTCTCCCACCACAACTTGAGACCATTGCTCCTTGTTCTGCCATCTGTCACTACTGAGAACAGCCTCTCTCCATCCTCTTTGGAACCTCCCTTCAGGAAGTTGAAGGCTGCTATCAAATCCCCCCTCACTCTTCGCATCTGCAGACTTGGCTGACACACACGGTTGGATCAGAATAGCTTTACATTCCCAAAATCAGAGTGAACTTTCAACTAGAGATGAGCCCTTTGTATAGAAAAATAAATGAGATTTTGGCCTCTCATTTTAAGAATGTGAGGTCTTACTAAAACATGCCCATGGAAACGCACTTAAAGCATGAGGTGTTTTTAAAATCAAGTATTCCTTTTAACATTTCCCAAGGATTTGCTCCGATTAAAAAAGATGCTGTGACAAAGCAGCATTGTAATACAACTCAGCGTTTTGTATCAGGGAAGTCGGCTTCCCACGTGTGCTGGGTAGCACATTTTTGCACAGTGAAACACTCTGAAATGCGAATACCAGCAAGTGCCTTCTGAATCGCTGGTGATCTTCTAAATTCATCTCTACAGCAGCAAGTACAAAGGCATGGGAGTTAAAAGGTGGAGGGCGGGGTAGACGTATTTTTTGGCCTGCTGTGTTGTAGCTGGGTGTCCCTCCCAGGAAGCTAGAGAGACAGGGTGGGTGAGGAAATCGCCTTTATTGGACCAACTTCTGGTGCTGAGAGAGAAGTTTCCCAGCTACACACAGAGCTCCCTCTTCTCGGAGTTCGTCTCTCTCACCAAATTCTACTTAAGCTGGGCCAATAAAAGATATTACCTCCCCCACCTTGGGTCTCTAACTTTTTTATGTGCTGGCTACAATGGGGTTGTATAGCACAATCAGAAAGGTGCTGGCTTTTCGGATCAGAGAGCAGTCTCTGGCAGGGCTCTGTGATGGAATCTGTCTGCTGGGGGGTGTTTATCCCAGGAATGCTGATAAGGCGCTGGGAGTGCCAGGGAGAGCAGCAATGGAACGGAACAGCCCCCAGGGGCTCTGCAGGTCTCTGCCGAGTCTTGGCTAGAGGCTGGCGTTGTCAGACGTGTGCTCTCCTTGTAGCAGGCTGCGCCTGTGTCAGGGAACGGGCTTGCCAAGACCGGTTCCCACAGCAGGGTTACCCGGTTCGATCAGCGAGGCGCAGATTCAGAGCTAGTGAATTGAGAGCCATTCACCTAAGAACAATAATTGGAAACTTTCTGTCTGCGCATGTGGCTCTCACCACCACAGCGCAGGGCGCTCCAGCTCCATTTACCTGAGGGCCAGTGGCAGGCCTTAAACCTCCGAGTGGGTCCACAAAATTCACACACTAATCAACACCGCTATGCTGCTAAAATGTGGGCTAAGTGACATGTCCAAGGTCACCCGGGGAGTCTGTGGCAGAGTTGGGAAAGGAACCCAGATCTAGTGGTGAAGGCTTGCACCTGTTAGACGTGACCACCCTCTGCTGGCTGGAATCAGAATTGACCAATAATGTCATAAGGCTTATACTGCTGGCAGGGAAAGAAGAGTCCCTTTTAGCTCAAGCGGTAGTGCTTGATGCTTTTGGGGCAGGAAGAGCTCAGTTCTATCCCCACTAAGATTACAGTAAGCAGCCTCTAGGACCCTGTGTGCTCCCAACTGGGTCTGGTTTTTCTACACTATTTCCAGAAGGCAAACAAATCAGCACAGATCCAGGGCTGAATACTAGTGCATCGCTGCTGGGAGCTGGGCACGAGGCTGAGTAATTTAAAGCAACCGGCTGCCCTGGTGTCTGCCCAGAGCGCAGGAAAAGACCTTTTCTGTTCAGGACTCTAAGGCCGGGTGCAGCTCACACAACCCAGAGGCCAGGGTTCCATGGGATTCCTGCTTCGCTGCATTTGACATTTCTACACAGCCATCTGGATTGGTTCTTACCTCACTGCCTCCTTGAACCGTGCAGACCTGGGGCCGCTAGCAGCCAGCTCGGCGAAGTAGCCGTACTTCTCAAGGAACGTCTGTCACCAGGGGAAACCCGGAAGAGAGAAAACTAAGTTGTAGCAGAAGCACAACTGAAAAAAAGAAAAGCCTGGGAATATGCATAGTTGTTCAACTGCACTAGGGATGAACTGTTTGGCTGTGTCTAAACTACATGGCTCCATCGATGGAGCCATGTAGTTTAGACACAGCCAAACAGTTCATCCCTAGTGCAGTTGAACAACTATGCATATTCCCAGGCTTTTCTTTTTTTCAGTTGTGCTTCTGCTACAACTTAGTTTTCTCTCTTCCGGGTTTCCCCTGGTGACAGACGTTCCTTGAGAAGTACGGCTACTTCGCCGAGCTGGCTGCTAGCGGCCCCAGGTCTGCACGGTTCAAGGAGGCAGTGAGGTAAGAACCAATCCAGATGGCTGTGTAGAAATGTCAAATGCAGCGAAGCAGGAATCCCATGGAACCCTGGCCTCTGGGTTGTGTGAGCTGCACCCGGCCTTAGAGTCCTGAACAGAAAAGGTCTTTTCCTGCGCTCTGGGCAGACACCAGGGCAGCCGGTTGCTTTAAATTACTCAGCCTCGTGCCCAGCTCCCAGCAGCGATGCACTAGTATTCAGCCCTGGATCTGTGCTGATTTGTTTGCCTTTTATGGCCTGGTGTCCTGGTTAGAATAAGAGCTGCAGTCATGCTGCAAGTTCCTGGCTGGCTGGAGGGTTTTCTGAGTGTCTGGGATGACAGCTGTGTTCCCTGTAAGCTGAGCGCTTGGGCAGCCACCCAGGAGAGAGTCAAACACCGCCTAGCTGATTAGCAGAGCACCCACAGCCGGCAGCATGTGTGTCTATTGATGCTGCACGTGCCTTGGTGCACATGACCAAATTTATGCCACACCTAGATGGAAAAAATTAGAGGTCACATTGGATGGCGGCCACAGTTACAATAACACTACCTGGTTCCCATCTGGCACTTTTCATGAGGAGACAGATCTCAAAGCATTTTACAAAGGAGGGCAGTTCTATCATCCCCATTTTGCAGGTGGGGAAACTGAGGCACAAGGACACAGTCGTAGAGCCAGGAATAGAACCAGGTTTCCTGAGGTCTCGTTAGGTGCTGTGTGCACTAGGCCACACTGTCTCCATTCTCTCCTGCACTGGCGCAGAGAATCCTTACAGTCCAAGGCCAGAAAGATCTATTGCGATGGAAGGAGAGGTGGCCACCTGCGCTCCCCTTGGGACTTCAGTTAACTGATTAATGCCCCAGGGCCTCACATGGCCACCAACAGCCAGTGCAAACGCTGTACTGACCTCTGGCTGCAGTCCTAGGAGCCAGTCTGGCAGCAATAAAGGTGTGGCACCCGGGAATGCCAGAGGAAGCTGGTTTTATTTGCCTGGGCCTGATCCCCCTATGTGGGACAGAGCTACACAATCCTTTGTCATATGGGAGGGGTCCGTGTGTGAAACGCCTCTTCCAGCCACCCTGATCTCAGAGACCCTGGTGCGTACCGAGGCTACTGCACTGACTGCAATGCCTGTCCCAGTCCAATCAAAGTCCCTTCAGGCCTGGGCCTCCCCGGCTAAGCCTGCCAGCCAGACCCAACTGAGTGTCTCACCTCTCCACTAGGAGTTGAATGTGGCTACCTGCCTGTGGCAAACTGAACGAGGAAGCACCAGCTCACCTTAGCCGAGTTGTTGACTTGAGTCCCACGACTTGAACTCAAGTCCGACTTACGTCGCCCTGCTGACTCGACTTGAGACTTGACTCGGGTTCGTTGTGTGTGACTTGAGACTCGACTTGAAACTTGCTAATTTTGTTAAATTGACTTGGTGAAAAAATTGTCCGAAAATGCCGATATGGATGGCTTGTACAAAAGTGACTTGACATTTTTTAAATTAAGACTTGAGACTCAACTTAGGACTTGACAATGATGACTTGAAGACAACACTGCACGTTAACACAGCAGGCGGCGTGGTGCCATGGTTAGAGCCACAGGCCTGGGAGCCAGGGTGGCCTGGGTTCTACTGGAGACTCTGCTGCTGGGTGGCCGTAGATAAGTAATGGCCCTGCTTTGTGCCTCAGTTTCCCCATCTGTGCCGCAGAGGCAAACAGGACTAGAAACTGCTTTCAGACCTGAGGATGACAAGCGCTGCTGTCAGTACAATGCGAATGTTGCCATAGGACTCAGTGGGACTGCGATCTGACTCTATAGGTGTAGAGCCCTGGGGTGCATTGAAACGACATGCCTCTTTCGAAAGAGGAATGTAAATGAAGGAAATCGAAAATGCAAATGAAGTGCAGATTTACAAATCTCATGCTTCATTTGCGTGATTGCAACCGATCACTTTTTTGAGAGAGGTTTTTTTTTTAAAGCAGTATAGACGCGGTTCTTTCGAAAAAAGACCCTGTAAACCTAATTTTTTCAGGAATACGGGTTCTTTCGAAAAAGGTGTTTTTTTTCCGAAAGAACTGCGTCTAGACTGCTTTTTTTTCTAAAAAACCTTTTTTGAAAAAGCGATCGGATGTGATTATGTAAATGAAGTGGGAGATTTGTAAATCTGTGCTTCATTTGCATTTTCTATTTCCTTCATTTACATTCCTCTTTCGAAAGAGGAATGTAGTCTTACCGCACCCTGGTGTCCAACCAGTCCTGGCCACATTATTCAAGCCAACTAGCCACACTCAAATAGCCACATGTGGCTAGTGGCCAGCATGTTGGACACCACGGGTGTAGAGCACCATCATTTCCCATAATGCACCAATGCCAGTGGCTCTTCTGTGGGATCCAGTGATCGAGGGCTGGGCGGCTCCCGGTCTTGTGACCACGTTGCTTGATCATTGCTTGCTCTGATGTGGCTCCTTGTTTCCCAGGGAGTTCCAGTGGGTGACCCACCTGCCACTCAGCGGGGTGCTGGATGCTTCCACGGCCCGCCAGATGAGCCTGCCGCGGTGCGGCGTGAGCGACGCAGACAGCCACACCGCCTGGGCTGAGCGGGTGCGGGCCCTGCTCTCCGGCCGGCGAGCCAAGGCGAGGCGCGGGAAGCGCTATGCACAGCAAGGTAGGCGCTTTCACAGTTCACCGTGATTTTCATTGGCTGAGTGAAGTCATTCAGCTGCTGGCCAATAAAACCTGGGCTCTTGTGGCTTGATTCCCAGAGCCCCCAGCACTGAGTTGGAGAAGACCTGATAGGTTCCTTTGTCCTGCTGCTGCCTAGGATGGATTGTTCCTAGAAAATGCCTGAAGATTGGTCCTTTTGCTGGGTTTTAGCCATTCTTTTGCCCAAGGTCACCTCTGCAGCAATTAGAGCCGAGTGGATATTGCATTTTCTGTTCCATGAGAAATTGCGAAATTTACGTCCTTTTTATTTTCCTTGTCCTGGATCATAAAGAAAAGCCAGACTTCCTCATGGAACAAAAATTCCAAACAGTTTCTGTTTGGGAGCATTGAATTGTTCCGTTTTGCTGATGTTGAAGCACTTTGTGTTAGTAAGGACAAACCATTATCCTGTAATTAAAAGTATTACATGTAAAATATAATAAATAGTTTATATATTATAATAGTAAACGGCATATTTAGTGCAGTAAAAATGTCTGTGATGTGATAAATCTGAAATGAAACAGGCATTTTATCGAAATGCAACGTTCTGACTTTATCAAAATGAGAGACCGTACCGATTTGCTCTGACATTTTCCTTTTTGATATTGGCGTGGTCCCTTGAAACCTTTTCATTTTGACAAAAGCTGCATTTTCCAATAGAAAACTCTTCTCTCGGACATTTTGCGACCAGGTCTAGCAACCCCGAAATTATGTTGTTGATTCCAGAGCATCTCTGCATGTCCTGCTAAGTCTGTTTTAAACTACTCATCCATGCTCTAGCCTGGGCTGGAGGAGTTGGATGTATCTTCTATTTGGTTCTTTTGCTGGTTGCGCTGCAGTAGTTTTAGGCTTGGACAAGAGGGGGCATGAAAAAAGACTGATCTTTTCTCCCTGTGACGGACATTTGCCCATTTTCGAAGTATCATTGCACCCATTGTAACATAACATCTCTGATCAACATCAAGGAAAGAAACTGCCCCCAGTTAAAATTGTGTAACTGGGCTCCAGGCTTGTTAGTGAGAAGGAAGGTTTGGAAAACGCTCTCTGTCGGTTCCGGCCCTGGGGAGATTAATGGCTGAGCCAGCGTTGAGTTGAACCCGGCACAAGCATTGTTTAAAACAGGGATGTTAAATATCTGTTAATTGAATAGTCGAGAAACCTCATGAATTCTTACCGGTTAGTCGATTAGTCTATAGTTCCCGGGAACGGGGACGGCAGCCAGTGCACTCTAGCCCCACTCCCGAGGAGTCCCCTGCCACTCCGCTCTGCTACCACTGCTGCGCCTCTGCATTTAAAGTGTATTAGGAACCAGGTGGGCAGGCAGCCTGACTCAGGTCTGGCTCACGCCGGGTCCAGGAGCTCAGACCCGGCCCTAGACGGGGGCTGCTGCCTCTTTATCAGAGGCAGCAGTGCAGGGTGCCAGGTGGGAGCTGGTCTGCAAGGGGAACAAGTTTAAAAAACAGTTCCCCTCATGGACCGGCCCCTGTGTGCTCGGTGCTGTACAGACAGTGTTGGGCAGGGGTCCCTCTAAATTGCGCAGCTACCAGCTGTCTAATAAGCGCGGGGCAAGGGCTCAGAGCTGCTGCGCATGGAGCTGTGAAGGCCGAGGGAGAGGCTCTTCTTCCCAGCTATGGCAACTCCCTGCTGGGCCCGGAGGAGTGTGCTGGTCCTTCTCCCCTGGTAGCTCTGTGCTGGGGCTGCAGAAGAGGAGGGCTCCTGTGGACTCAGCAGGAGCAGAGCTTCCTGGAGCTGCTATGTCTGGGGGGAAGCTGTTCTTCTCTGTCCCCAGGAGGGCCAGCAGGGAGTTGCTGTGCTGGGGGGGGGAAGATGCTCTTCCTCAGCCCCAGCTGAAGGGCTGGATTAAAAAAGGGGCGTTAGGGCTGGGGGGCTTTGGGCTACAGCCTGGAAGGCCCATATTCAGGGCCAGCCCTTCCTGGCGGATGAGGGAGGCAGCTCTCTGGCTGGAGCTGCATTGCTGCGAGCTCCAGGAAGCTCTGTCCCCACCCAGCCCTCACTTGGAGGCTCCGCCCCCATAACTCCCATTGGCCAGGAATTGCAGCCAATGGGAGCCGCAGGTGAGTGCGGGGCAGCGCAGGCTGCACAGAGCCACCTGTTCCCCACCACCAAACGGGAGCTGCCCCAGACCTCAATCTCCTGCTTCAGCCCCAAACCCCCTCCCAAGCTCTAAGTCCCGAACTCCCTCCCAGACCCCACACCCCAACCCAGAGCCCCATCCCTGAGCCTGCTCCAGCACCCTAACTCCCTCCTAGACCTCCCCACCCCAGCCCTGAGCCCCACCCCTTGTGGGCCACAGCACAGGGTGACAAGTAGCCGGTCCGCAAGAGGAGCTGGTTGTTAAACTGGCTCCCATTGTGGATTAGCTTCCTCCTGGCACCTCGTGCTGCTGCCTAGCCCTCCCCCAGGGACTGTAGAATAGTCGGCTAGCTGATAGGAATTAATGAGGTTACTTGACTATTCAGTTAACTGATATTTAACATCCCTAATTCACACCCTCTAGTTTTCAGCTGGCTCTTCCCAGACTCTAAACATACTCCACTGGAACTTACACACTTGGCTGGAGTTGCTCCTGATTCACACCAGCCCAGAGGAGATCCGAGTCCTGCCTGCAGCGTCTAGGAGCAAGTGGGGGCCTCAGCGCTGTGCCTGGAGTCTGCCCCATTCGAGGGGGCTGATGCTGAGAGAGGAGAGAGGCAATCCTCCACTGCAGCCTGAACTGGCTGCTTCCCCATTCAGTGATCAGCTGGACTCGGAATTCTAAAGAGAGACACTCTCCGGGTAAATGCCAGCGACCCGTTAGTCATTGCCCAGCACTGATCTGGGAAGGTAAAACGCCGCCCCTCTCTGCTGGGCTGCCCGCACCTCACGCTGCCTTTGGACGGGAGCCGAGGAAGATACGAGGTGCAGCCCCTGGCGAATGGAGCCCTAGCCCTGTAAAACGCAAATGCCCTTCCCTGCCTAAGTCCCAGCTTAGTCCCAGTGCACAAAGCTGGTTTTTAAACTGGCTCCCCTCGCAGCCCAACCCTGGGGCTAGTCCCAGCGCACACTTTGTCCCGCTCCGTCCCTTGGCACGGCGGATGCTCCTGGGGAAGGGAATCGGGGAGTTTTGGTGGTGTTGAGTCAGTTAGGTTTTCTGGTTCTCGCGTGTTGCAACGATGGCTCGTGAACACCGCAGGGCAAGGGTTAAGTCTGGATTTAAAATCTGAGGGGTTCAAGACCCAGCTCTGCAAAGGGAGCTTGGTGCCTGCATCCTCTGGGAATTAGGGGTCTAAAGTACCTCTGAGGCTCTGGGTCCCTATGTACCAGGATACATTATGAGCAGTTCCACCAAGGGAATTTCTGTGGCTGTGACTGAGGCAGAGACAGCCTAATGCTGCAAAGGTCTCTCATTTAGGTTTTTTGTGAGTTTCTTTCCCTGACCTTCCCCCTCCCCTCAGCCTGTAAATTCCCTGACCCTGTCTCTTGAAAGTTTCTCTGAAAAGGTTACCCAGAGGTGCGTGTTGGGCTCCCGTACCATCCGAGTCAGGCCTCGTGTCTGGTCTCAGCCAGAGTGGTGCCGGCCACAGAAGGCCCAGAAAAGGCCACTTTGGGGTTTAGAACATAAGAATGGCCATATTGAGTCAGACCAAAGGTCCGTCTAGCCCAGTATCCTGTCTGCTGACAGTGGCCAGTGCCAGGTGCCCCAGAGGGGGTGGACCGAAGACAATGATCAAGCAATTTGTCTCCTGCCATCCTTCTCCAACCTTTGACAAACAGAGGCCGGGGCACCATTCCTTACTACCCTTCTTCCCTCCCCCTCCCCCCCCGGCTAATAGCCTTTTATGGACCTAACCCCTCCATGAATTTATCTAGCTCTTTTTAAAACTCTGTTATAGTCCTAGCCTTCACAGCCTCCTCTGGCAAGGAGTTCCACAGGTTGACTATGTGCAGTGTGAAGAAGAACTTTCTTTTATTAGTTTTAAACCTGCTACCCATTAATTTCATTTGGTGTCCTCTAGTTCTTCTATTATGGGAACTAATAAATAACTTTTCTTTATTCACCCTCTCCACACCACTCATGATTTTATAGACCTCTATCATATCCCCCCCTCAGTCTCCTCTTTTCTAAACTTTCTGAAAAGTCCCAATCTCTTTAGCCTCTCCTCATACGGGACCCGTTTGAAACCCCTCATCATTTTAGTTGCTCTTTTCTGAACCTTTTCTAATGCCAAAATATCTTTAAATTTTGCAATTTGAAAACTCTTTGCCCTCAGTGTTTGGCACTTCTTACCAGGTGTACAGTGCCTTGAGTCTGTCTCAGCTTTTCTGCCATTGCTCCCTGCGCCACAGAGCCGTGTGTCCTTATGGGGGGCTTTAGGAGAGGTGCAGAAATTCTCCGGGGTGGTGCCCCACCAGGCACAGTTATGTGGAGCATTTCCAAACGTGCAGTTCCCATGTACTGCATCCAGCTGGTGATTAATGCTGGCCCCTTGGTCCTTCCGCACATCATGTGTGGAAGCAGGAATTTCGTTCTTTCTCTTCTTCGCAGCTGACAGAAAAGGCTTCTCCTCCTTTGCCTTTTGCAGGTATGAGTGTGGCCCTCCTCGGCTATTTGGAAGTCATGAGCCCTGCTCTCAGCACAACGAGGGTTCGTGGACAAGGGCAGCCAATAACGTAGGCCGGGGAAGGCCCAGCTTCCCCAGCCACGAGGGAGGGCTGCGGCATTGCGGCTTCAGCCCCACATGTGGCCAGGAAGGATCAGATTAGGGGTGGGCGGGACTTGACTCCAGGGTCGGGGCCTCGGATGGAAGTGGAGGGGGTAGGCCTGGGGCTTGCCTTCCCCAGCTCGGCTTTCACCCATCGCCCATGTTCACTGGTGTTCACCAATCCATTTACTAAATGGTGCTACACTGATCCTCTGAGAGGGAGGATGGCCTAGTGGTTAGGGCACTAGCCTAGAATTTGGGAGACCTGGGTGGAATTCCCGACCCACCCACAGCCTGCCTGTGTGACCTTGGGCCAGTCACTTAGCCTCTCAGTGTCTCTTCCCTGTTGACAAAATGATGTTGATGGCACTGCTTTCCCTCATGGGGGCATTGTGGGTCAATATACTGTGAGGTGCTCGGGTACTACAGCAGTCGGGGCTGGAGAGAGGCGCGCCGGCAGCGGATGCCGCTAAATCGCTTGGAAACTGCATTGCAATGGGCGACATAAAGTGTTCTGTAATAGAACCGATTCGTGGGGCCGCATTTAGAACATGCGCATCGATTCTAAGGCCAGAAAGGACCCTTCTGGTTCCCTAGGCTGGCCACCTGCTCCAGAATCATTCCTAGCGCAGATCCCTGAGAAAAAAACACCCCATTTTACTTTCAAACTTGCCTTCGATGGAGAAATTCCCTGCGAACCTGGGTAAGATGTTCTAGGGGTTAATTCTCCTTACGGATGAAAATGGATGCTTAATTCTGGTCGGAATTTGTCTAGCTTTGCCTTCCGGCCTTTGGAGTGTTTTGTACCTTTATCTGCTAGGCCACCAAGCCCAGGACTTGCGGCTCCTGCTGGATTAATACAAAACTTCTGAAGTTCCTGGTCCTCTTGGTGCTGGCAAAATGCAAGTTTGAAGCTGCAGAATGTTTTAGCTCTTTCAACCCCCTCCACCCGAGGGCTGTACTAGGGCAAGGAGAACAGCGTTCACATAGGTCTCTTTGGACCCGATTCTCAGCTGCTGTAACTCAATGCAGCTCCAGTCTAGTTTACACCAGGGATCTGGTCCTAGTTGTGTTTACTTAGCACAGTTTCTACTTTATTAGAAAAAACCTCTAGAAAAACAAAGGTTGAAATTCCGCGTGGGGGCGGAGGAATGTTCACAGAAATGGACAAACATCAGGCGTTCACATAGGTCTCTTTGGACCCGATTCTCAGCTGCTGTAACTCAATGCAGCTCCAGTCTAGTTTACACCAGGGATCTGGTCCTAGTTGTGTTTACTTAGCACAGTTTCTACTTTATTAGAAAAAACCTCTAGAAAAACAAAGGTTGAAATTCCGCGTGGGGGCGGAGGAATGTTCACAGAAATGGACAAACATCAGGCACTTTGTCCTCATGGAAATCTGAACCCAGCAGGATCATCCT